AAGAAGATGATGCAAAATTGTAATTTGGTGGGCCCCACTTTTGTTTTTGCGTTGGGTATGACCATGTCATCATTTATCCACGTGTACAACTGACGTGGCTTAAATTTTTGATATATCTGTGAGTTAACATACGATTTTTAATGGAAGGACCAAATCGGGGTAAAAATGGTAAACAGTAGGGACCAAATCAAAGATTTTTTTAGTTCAGGGACCAAATTGGGGGTCCGTATAATAGTTCAGATACCAAAAAAGGGTTTTAACCTAAAATATATTATTTTATTATTTATTAAAATATTTAAGTTCCAATAACTATTCCCTTTACTACTCATTCTGAAAGCATTCCTTCTTATTCCTCAGTTGAGTCTAACCTCGAACAGGGAAGCACCTATTTTGGAGTTCAGGTCTTCAGCTATGCTGAGCTTGAAGAAGGAACTGATAATTTTGATCCTTCTAAAGAACTTGGAGATGGGGGTTTTGGCACTGTTTATAATGGTGAGAAGATAAATGTGTTTCTTGCCTTCTCTGTATTAGTTTCCTATGTAAGGCATTGGTTAATACTTTTTGTTTTCCTGGTCTTTTGATGGTTCCTTCAATTCTTTAATCAGGTGTGCTCAGTGATGGGCGTGTTGTGGCAGTAAAGCACCTGTTTGAGAACAATCTCAAACGTGTTGAACAGTTCATAAATGAAATTAAGATCCTAGCTTACATACGACATCCAAATCTTGTGATGCTATATGGATGCACCTCAAGGCACAGCAGAGAACTTCTCCTTGTGCATGAATACATTCCTAATGGAACTGTGGCTGATCATCCTCACGGTAGAACGGCAAAGTCCGGCTTGCTTACTGGGCCAGTTCGGTTGCGCATTGCCATAGAGACTGCTAATGCTTTAGCTTACCTTCATGGTAAAGATATCATACAACGTGATGTCAAAATCAACAACATTCTTCTAGACAACAGTTTCCATGGGAAAGTGGCTGATTTTGGTCTGTCTCGACTTTTCCCCAATGATGTTATCCATGTGTCAACTGCTCCGCAAGGGACCCCCGGCTATGTTGATCCTGAGTATTATGAGTGCTACCATCTTACAGATAAAAGTGATGTATATAATTTTGGGGTGGTGTTGATTGAGCTCATTTCTGCTAGGCAAGCAGTAGACACAAATAGGCACCACTTTGATATTAACTTGGCTAACATGGCCATCAGCAGAATTCAGAATCAGGCATTGCATGAGTTGGTTGATCCATCTCTTGCCTTTGAAACTGATTTTGCTATGAGGACAATGATTACATCTGTTGCAGAACTGGCTTTTTGGTGTTTGTAGCAAAAGAGGGATATGAGGCCTTCCATGCAAGAAGTTTTGGGGGTTTTGAAGGGAATGCAGAATAAAGATTTGGGAGCTTAGTTTGCAGAGGTGGTGAATATTGGAGCAGATGATGTTGGCCTTTTGAGACATGTTCCCCCTCCAGTTTCACCAGACTCAGTTGAAACTGAAAAATGGATTAGTAGCTCTTCCACACCGAATTCCTTTTAGTTCAAGCATATAAGATTTCGCTTCACTTTTCCCCTCAAATACTCAATAGGTAAAAGTATTCTGTGATCTTAATCCATTGTGGATGAGGATCTAAATTTACATTACCTTCACTTTCAGGCCTTTTCTCCTTTTCCCTTGTTTGTTTAAAAATAATATAAGATGATACCAGTTTATGTGAAGTCAAGGAATTATAAGTTTATAAGGAATGAGTACAGCTTCATTAAGGGTATAAAATCTATATGTTTAGGATGCATTTATTCATGAGCATTTTTCGTTTAATACTATATATACAGTTATGAATTGTAGATGCTGTGGTAAGTTCCTGGTCTTTCTAATGCTGTTTTAATGCTTGTTTCTCTACCAGGGGCAGATAAGAACAATGTAATCCAACTTGCATACATGGAAGCAGAATTTCGATTTTGAAGAGTATTTGCTGCTTAAAATTCAGGTTTTAAGTTCTGCTTACCAGAAGGGAATCATTTGTTTAAATTAAACATTTTGTCAGACAAAATGGTGGTAACACTTTAGTGAATAGCTTGAACAAGTGACGACAAATGCAGCAGCGTAGAGCTGTTTTGTATCCGCATGGTATGTGTAGTCAGTGGTTACTATGCATTGTAAAGGCAGATTAAATTGTTGTATCTTTTTCTTGCTGATCTGAAATCAAACTTTATAATTTACCCTCTAAATTGCTGTTCTTTAAATCATGTGAAATAGCTTCTTACACAGTTACATTTGTTGGTTAAGATCAACTTTGGAGCCAACTATGTACCCAAAGAAATTAAATTTTTTAAATACACCAAATCAATATGTAAGGTGTTTTTAAAATTACCTGAAAAAGATAGTAATCTTTAGTTAGGCACACAAAATTAAATTATTAAGTGAAACTAAATCAAAAGAGTTAATTATAATCTTTTTACCACTTTTGTATTCCCTTTTTCTGCCTTTTGAACCAAATGAACACATTATTTTTGCAGCACACATGCATTAAATTAAAGATATAAAAGTCTTTTCTTTGGCAAAGCCAGGGGAGGAGAAACTACCTGGAAAAAGGCTTTTGCCCTTTACCTCATCCCGTACGCTAGAATCCATTGATGTATGCATGTGCATTGTCCTCCAAATAAGGGACAGCCGCTTGCCCATGCATTGAGCGTGAATCTTTCTAATTTTTGTAACGGAGTCCCCTTTAACGGTCAGACCTCGCTGAAATGTGTCTCTTCCCAAATATTACCTTCAACAAAGCACACATCATTTCCTACCCTCTTTGTATCTTATATTTATTATAAAAGAAAAGTATCTATCCATTGTGAAAACTGTGTATGTGTGGTTTAACACGCGATTTGCATCAAATTTAAAACTTATTGACAATAAGTGAAATAACTTTATTTATATTTATTCTTTGTCATATTTTTTATGTAGGATTTTTTCTGACTCAACACACTCTCTTACATATATGTTTGTTATGAATGTATGGAGCTTCCAAGGAGGAAGTCTAGGTTTGATATCATGTGAAAGTTGTACATATAAAAATTATACATGTGGGTTTTAATATAAAACTTATATCTAATTTAAAATCAATTAATAATAAATGAAATAAACTTTTTTATATTTAATCCACATCATTTTTTATTATATTTTCAATGTAAAATTTTTTCATTTGACATCAATTAAATCTTTAAAAAAAATTTAAAAAAA